AAGCAATAGACCACACTTTCTATGGGTTTACCGACGTGATAACCCACTTGGGATGTTGGGAGAACACTCGAAAAGCTTGTAAATCACTCGCCTTCGGCTCGTGATTTACAAGCTTTTCTCGTGTTCTCCCAACATCCCGCGTGGGTTATCACGCCGGTAAACCCATAGAAAGTGTGGTCTATTGCTTAATTTAATAATCCATACATTGGTATATAAAGAGAAATAGGCTTATGCAGAGAAATGTGAATATAAATTACTTACAACAATACATCATTACAAAGTACTCAATGAAAGCACAGTTTTGTATATCCTAACGTTTCTTTTTTGAGCAGGGGGAGGGGGTGGATCAGAAGGGGGAGGGGGGGATCAGAATATTTAAGAGGGAACTTTAATGAACTATACAATAATGGTAATATTGTTTTTCCGGAGCGGGCTAGTATTGCCGTGCCCCTAGTCCCTATCTATTCCTTAATATTTTACTGAGAGATGCTTGGCTGAAGTATTAGTTGCAAAACGTCACACAAGCAAGATTTAGATGTGGTCAAAGACTGAACTCAAGTCTGGTGGCTCACAACTTACTGGCTGCCGTTCCACAGATTCGATTTTCTCCTCGATCAAAAACTCGTCTAAAGAAGATTCTTGTGTCTTTTCTTGCAAAGACGGGATCTCAATAAGGTCCTCAATAGGGACTCCCTTCTTTTCTGGCTGTGGCTGAGGATGTTCCAACCACTTTCGCCAAATGGACTTTCTCCTGACATCCATGATTACAATCTCTTCTTCGAATTCATCGTATTCTTCTTCTGATTCCTCGTCATCATCGTCGTCGTCTTCTTCCGCCGGTTGCAGATCGGGAATCTTTTCCACTGGAACGTCAATTTCGGATGTGCTTCTTATAACAAGCACTATCGGATGTTTGTGGACAAGACCGAAAAACTTCTTGGACTGTTCGGTAACTCCGCGGCTTTCTTCAATTATGTTCTTTGTTTGATCTTCCGTTTTCGGAAACATCTTGACATTAGCTGTGGCATCGTGACTTGGGAAAAAGTGCGCTTTGACTTCAATTTCAGCCACGTTCCGTTTTGGGTCGACGTTTTTGGCGTATCCGTTTTTAGTGGCATACGAAGTCACTACGGTTATCTTAATGACGTGTTGAGCTTGCACTCCACTGTCGCCAATAGGTTCCATAACTTCAAGTAAATAGTGTTTAAAATGAATTACGCTCAGTTATTTTCTGCACCTTGCACACGAGTATATTGTCCTCTTGTCCTTATCAGTACTTAAGGTTTGGTCGCTCTGTTCTCGTTTCTCTGTTCTGTTTAGAACAATTTACATCAAGTCAAGTGAATTTCAATAGGTTTTGGTAAGCGCTCCTCGTTAGTGTATGAGGCACGTCCAAAAGAAGTGAAGTAAATAAAGCAACACGCAACTTTTATTTAAAATGATAATTACGTGACATTCTTACAGCTATTTCACGCTTCGGTGGTCTGTTAACTACTGTTATCTTAAACAGAAAGCGCTAAGCATTGCACGCTACACTGATCTACAAAGAAATCTTACTCAACAGGAACGTTGACGTAGCTGGAAGTCTCTGATGGAGACAGGAACTTCTTGTGTATTCTTTGTTTTGTGGTCTGAATCACACTGGAGTGGGAAGTCAAATAAACTTAAGTGGTTTGTTGTGAATTATTTCAAAAATGTTCTAATAATGGAAACTAAGACTTCCTTTGCCACATTCTGCAAAACTCTTTCGCTCTTCGAAAAACCTCTGGAAGCCTTTGATTCTGATTAGTATAACGCTTTTGTGAGTTGCTATGATGAAACGGCCTTGCGAACAACAAGGCATGGAAAACACTCAGAAGTGCTGGAGACTTATTGACAAAAGTTCATACGCCGATATGGACGATATAGCCCATCATGCCTAAAGGGTCGTTTACATATTATGTCATTGTCTGTGTCGACCTTGTGATAGAAAAAAAAAGACTAACCCTCAATTCTACAGAAATAAAACAAAAAAACAAAGTCATGAAAGTCGATCTAACGTCCAAAGCCTTCCCTGTGTTGGTGCATTGGTTGGAGATGAAACAGTTAAAATAGGTGCAATTCAGCAGGTTTTCCATATTTTCCAAGAAACTATGATATTGACAATCCTGGCCGGATTTCTAGAGTCTAATACTACAGTGACCCTGACAAATATTGTGTTCTCTTGATATGTTAAGTGTTTTGGCTTTGTCCTAGAGTAGTGATGCACTTGCAGGAAAATGAAACAGTCTAAGGGGGCTCAATAAGCCCTGCTAAGCAACCATGTTTTCGAAGGAGCTCAGATCTGTTAACCCGCATGATTTACGGGCTGCCGTTCCACGGATTCGATTTTCTCCTCTCCCGACGTCCATGACCACAATCTCTTCTTCAAATCCATCGTAGTCTTCCTCACCAAGGGGAGCTGGAATAAGTAGCTGGGCTCTTGTGGGCCAGGGATATTTCCGCTCAGGAAAGCCGATTTGGGATCTATCTTGTTTAAACAGCATCGGTTGAAAGTCGACATGTTCGACAAATCTTCGGTTATCAGCACTTACTCCGATGATCATCTTCGTTGAATATTTCCGCTCAGGAGCGTCGAGTGTGGATCTATCTTGTTTAATAAGCACCATCGGTTGCGAGTCGACATGTTCAACAAATCTTCGGTTTTCAGCACCTACTCCGATGATCATCTTCGTTGAATATTCAACTTTTGCAAAAATCTTGACATCATTGGTAACATTATGACTTGGGCAGAAATGTCCTTTGATGTCTATTTCAGCTATCTTCCCTCTTTGCCCCTTTGCACTTACAGACAAAGTCTTTACAGTTATCTTAATGACACGTTTAGCTCGAACTTCACTTCCGCAGCAGAACTTCATGGCTCGAATTTAAATTCCTTGTCTGTGGATGTTTCACTTCAGGAGGTTAACGGTCGCAGTGATCAATGTTCTCTGAACGTTTTCTTTTACAAGATTGTATAAACCCAAGAAGATTTTGATTGCGATCCGGTTGTGCGCTAGTAGTCTTCCTCAATGCGCAACTGATGCATAACACTCGTTTAGGAAGTGTTAAGCATTTACAATGAAAAACAGTAGAAGGTCTTTTATATTTTATTTCACACTCCAGCAGTCAGTTGCTATAATAGAAAGCAACGCATTGTAAAATCCAATGGTGGAATAAGAGGGGGCCTGTTCATATGGTCGTAGCACAGTTCTCTAGATCCATCGCAAACCTTTTCCCAAATCCCTTCCGCACTGTTTCTTGATTAAAGCCAGTCGAATTTCTGATAGTGAGTTACTGATCTCCCGTGTAAGGAAGAATCGAGTCTGCTGGCAATAGTCACAAAGGCCTGCGGTTTGCCCTGATCGCGTGTGACTAAAACCGGAGGAAAAACACTGTATTTAGGTTTGAAAAATCATTAGAAAGCAGTTAAAGCAGAGTTACAAGGGCAACTCTTCATTTGCACTTTTTATATTATTTCACTTCTTTTTACCTACTTTGCTTTGTACTTTTGGGTTGCTGTTGTTGTGGTGGTTCTGTTTTTTTATATAATAAATAGGCCCTTTGCAGAATGGCTTGCAATTCACGTGGTACAAAAGCGCCGTGCTGGAGAGCAAAGGTCGCAATGGGACAACACAAAAAAGGGCATTCATAATTTTCATAATTTTAAAAGGGCAATTCGTGTCCCAGTGCGACTTTTGCTCTCCAGCATGACGGTTTTGTACAACGTTAATGACTAGCTGCAAAAGTCCTATTTTGGTATTTTGTCAGATACGCACGTGCGCTCTGGTGTACCACGCCGCTGGCTCATCGAAACCCTAGGAGAAGTAATGTCTCTCGGCCATATGGGCTTTAGTTGGCCTGAAAAAAGAGTGGGGACCGAGCCTCCCTCACCTTGAACAGCCAATGAAAACCAATACAACTTAAAGTTACTTAGGCCGGAAATCCCCCTGGCTTAATAGGACCTAATAAGCCATTTCCGACTTGTCCAAAGCCCCTGTTTCAAAGCGAGGCGAAGTGCTATTGATAGGAAAATGATTTTTATTTAAATGCAGATAAACTTGTTTTCACAAGAAAGGTTTTGCACTTAGCCTCGTTTTGAAAGTGAGAGTGCTTGTAACTCGGAAATTAATATCCTATTCAACCTTAACATGTTTCAGATACTTCAGTATTCATCTTCAGTCTCTGAAACTTGCCAACCCCCAAGGAACAAAAAAAATTCTAAATTCTAGAGATTCTAAACCTAGAGCTGGGAAAAGTAGTGAGAAATGGGTAAAAAGTAGTGAAATGTCCCAAATTTCCTAGTGGAAGGACTTTCAGTGGAGATTATGGGTATAGGAAGTCATCATACCAGTTTAAAGCTGAAGCCGTGAATATCACGATCAATTTTACGATTTAGGTTTTGTAATTTCTATGTTTTGTTGGCGCCATCTTGAAATCAGGCTCAATTTTCGTTTTGCTTTGTAAATAACATTCCGGTGGGCAAGGCGAAACGAACGGTAGTCGTTAGAGAGAATGTATGAGAACCGCTAAAATTGGGCCTGATCTCAGGTTAGAAACAAGAGAAACAGTAAGTCTGCACATATGGTGGCAGCGGCAAGTCGCGGTAGGCTAAAAGAATGTAATCAAGCCACCACTAAACGTTTTCTTTGGGTTGAGCTGGCTATCTATTGATAACTAACTTGGAAACGCACCCTACAGCTCCAAAATTTTTTGGAGTTGGACTTTTCGAGAAAGCGTGAGAAGTCAGTTGCCAACTCCTGAGAGCGTGAGGCAGGTCCTAAAATCGTGAGACTCACGACAAAGTTGTCACTTTTCCGCGTGAAGCAAAGGAAAGAGGAGACGTATGCACGCAGGCAAATGATAAAGACGTGAGACTTGGCAAGTCTGCTTTCAGGTACATAAAAAAAAAAAAAATTGTTTAAACATCCTTGATGGATACTGAGGTATTGGTCCAAGCCATGTTCTCCCTACAGTGGTTCAGGCAGAAAGACACTTTTGGATCATATCTTACTTCCTTGTTTAGTGTTCAGTGGTGAAATAGATTATTATTATTAGAAATAGTACAATTTCTTACTTGCAAAGATTTTCATTGTCCTTGAAACAAGAAATGTTACACTTATTGTAAACGCCCTTGGCTCATCGAGTCCCTATAGGAGAAGTAATGTTTCTCTGCCACACGGATGTTAGTTGGCTTGAAAAAACTGATGAACTGACGATGGATACTGAAGTTTCGGCCCGAACCATGTTCTCCCAGGGGTTCAGGTAGCGAGATACTTTTGGGATCATATCTTACGTCCCTGTTCAGTGTTCAGCGTTGAAGTAGATTATTATCATTAGTGTTAGTAGTAATATTACAATTTCTTCCTTTACAGATGTCCATTGTCCTTGAAACAAGAAATGGTACACTTCTTTGTGAAAACGAAGGATTCAATTCCCAGGGTAGAAAAACTTGTTATACACAACTAGCTTTCGACATATATGTTATAGTTTTGGTCTGGTCCCATCCCGAGACTAAAACTTTAAAGACCTGGCTATTGGTGGTCGTTCATAGAAGTGCACACTTTTGCAAAGTTCTGATCCATTGGGAATTCCTACTTCCTTTTCCAGCATTTTTCGCAGAATCAATCCTGAACCCAACACGGTTATTCGCTGTAAAAGTTCCATGCAATATGGCATTCTCAACTGTTTCAGCCACATTATAAATCCTCTAGAAACTGTTCCCGGTGCACCACCTACTATTGGAATGACATGAACTGAACGACAGTTGCGAATTCGTCTGATCTCGTATTTAAAAGTGTTAGTAATTATCGATATTCTCTCTTTCCTTGCTCACTAGAATTATCATTATCATTATCATTGTCATTGTCATTATCATTATCATTATCATTATCGTTATTGTTATCGTGATCGTTATCGTTATCATGATCATTGTCATTATCATTATCATTATCATTATCGTTATCATTATCATTATCATTGCCATTGTCATTATCATTATCATTACCATTATCATTGTCCTTATCATTGTCATTATCATTGTCCTTATCATTGTCATTATCATTGTCATTATCATGATCATTGTCCTTATCATTGTCATTATCATTATCATTATCATTATCATTGTCATTATCATTATCATTAGGGCCATTTATACGAGGAAAAATAAGACGCATCTTACATAAGACGCGAACTGTACCATTTATACGAGCATGTCTTATCTAATAAGACGCGTCTTAGCTAAGCCGCGTCTTATTTTAGACGAAATGTGCCGTTTATACGGAAAGTTCGCGTCTTATTTAAGACGCGTCTTATTTTTCCTCGAATAAATGGCCCTATTGTCATTATCATTGTCATTATTGTCATCATTACCATTTATCATTGTCATTATCATGAGGCAGTATTACAGCTCTGGATACCTGGATACCCAGACAGGTAACGGAAGAGTAAAGCGTCTCAACCAACCCCGCGCCGTAAAATCTCCCTCGTCGTGTCAAATTGGGATTTCTTTCTCATACACGACCGGTTGTTTGACGTCACGACCACAAAAATTTGTTAGGTAATTGCTAACATTTGCAGGACATTTGAGTTTCTTCTCTCTCATGATCGATGAGCCTGTTTCAGCCATCACTCCATGGTGGTGCAGGTGGTGACTTCCTCTTGCTTTCTTGGTTCTTAAAAACTGTAAAGAAGTATATGAAATTTGAATGATTATCTTGTTACGTTTGGAGACCACAAGATGCAGGATATGGTTGATGAAGACTGTACATTTCGGTAGGTCCCTCGCTTTAGGCGGGCAGGGGGTGTAACTGACAAGGTAATGGAGGCTTTCGGTCAGAGCGAACAAATGGTGTTCGAGGAAGATGAAAAGGCGACGACAGCTAACAAATGTGGAATGCCAGTTAAAAGTTTAAAGAAAATGACTTCAAAAACGGAACCTCGTTACAGTAGATAAAGCAGTTGCAGGTCACGACGAAGGGGCGGATCGTTTCCCCAAATGTGACTGCTTAACTAAATGTTGTAAACAATAGAAATATAGTAGATTCAGTTTACGAGCAATCCGTCAATACGAAATTGATAGAACAGAAGATTTCCCGAACATATACGAACTCTTTTGTTCAAAGGGAATAACAACCGATATTTAATCAGACCAGGGAAAAAGGATGCGCGTGAGAAGATAGAGGATTTATTATTTAACCTTTTTAAATACTCCAGCAACTATGCCCATAGGGGATTGATTACCCAACAAAGTCTTATACGGGCAGGCTTGGCCTCTAGGTCCAACTCCTTTTCCTTTTATACAACTTTGACAGAAAAGGTACCACTTTTGTATACCCTCCANTCTTGGTTCTTAAAAACTGTAAAGAAGTATATGAAATTTGAATGATTATCTTGTTACGTTTGGAGACCACAAGATGCAGGATATGGTTGATGAAGACTGTACATTTCGGTAGGTCCCTCGCTTTAGGCGGGCAGGGGGTGTAACTGACAAGGTAATGGAGGCTTTCGGTCAGAGCGAACAAATGGTGTTCGAGGAAGATGAAAAGGCGACGACAGCTAACAAATGTGGAATGCCAGTTAAAAGTTTAAAGAAAATGACTTCAAAAACGGAACCTCGTTACAGTAGATAAAGCAGTTGCAGGTCACGACGAAGGGGCGGATCGTTTCCCCAAATGTGACTGCTTAACTAAATGTTGTAAACAATAGAAATATAGTAGATTCAGTTTACGAGCAATCCGTCAATACGAAATTGATAGAACAGAAGATTTCCCGAACATATACGAACTCTTTTGTTCAAAGGGAATAACAACCGATATTTAATCAGACCAGGGAAAAAGGATGCGCGTGAGAAGATAGAGGAGTTATTATTTAACCTTTTTAAATACTCCAGCAACTATGCCCATAGGGGATTGATTACCCAACAAAGTCTTATACGGGCAGGCTTGGCCTCTAGGTCCAACTCCTTTCCCTTTTATACAACTTTGACAGAAAAGGTACCACTTTTGTATACCCTCCATTGACATAGAGTACCCCTTTCACATACCTAGTTTAGAACTTCGAATCCCTTTTAATTGCTGTAAATGCAATGATTTTAAATTTCACAAAACCAGCAAATTTTCTCAACACTTTTACAGCCATAAAATCCTTCTGATAGCCGTTTTAGGCGCTTTTACAGACCTAAATGACAGATTTCCCAACCCTTTTTATACACTTCAACTAGTGAAACCCCTACCCTTTCATATACCTGAAACCTGAAAACGTACTCCTTTTAGGCGGAGCCTCTGGCCACGTATAAACCAGTCCCTCCCCCGTAGCCTGTGCACAAACGCTCCCTCCCCTCAAATAAAATCGAGGAGAGATTAGGGGAGGGAGCGTCTGTACACAGGCTATTCCCCCCGGGGCTTACATCTTGAACGCATCATTTACCATCTATTTCGGGTATCCTAACATCACTTTCGTTTCGTACTTTATAAGATTTGTGGGTACGTTAAGTAAAGAGTACTAATCCGATTTCCTACTGGCTGAGGCTTTTTAGGGGATTAAAAGAGGCCTCTGCCCGCAAGGAACTCATCTAATAGCAAAGGACAGGTGATAAGTTATGAAACAAAAAGACATTAACCTTGACTTTTAAATTATTCAGAATCGATAACACATGGTTCTGGAATCTGCCCTTAAAATCTGGAGAGCGTGACAACTTCAACGCGCATTAGTATACTTTTTGACTTTGGCAAACTAAATCGAAAAAAAAAAAATAAAAATAAAACTAGCATAAATGAATAAAGAAAAATACACGATAAAACAGTCTTAACAATTCTATTAAGATCGCGAGCCAGCTGAAGTCTCCAGAGGCTGTAATAGTCAATGGCTGTGCTAATCTAATTTCTCTTAAAATAAACAACATCCGGGGGGGGGGCACTGTAGGAATTTCTGGGTGGGGATGTGCCGCTGGGAGCCTGGAACCCTTAACCTTTACCAGAGCTAGTTCAGCTGAATTTTGCTACCCTATACTAGAGTAAACTCCCCAAATCCCCCTATCCTAGAGTAGCTGTTTCCCTAGTCTACAGTAAAATCTTCAACCAACTGATCAGTTTCCTGAAAAATGATACCCTATTCTAGAGCCAAACGCTCTGATTTATATACCCTATCCTAGAGTAAACTGCTTGAAAACCATACCCTTCACAGCGGCACATACCTATATAGCCCATATATGGCACTACCCCCCCTGGGAACAACATCCGGTAAGTCGATTTGCTTGAGACTATCAAGGTGGACTCTTAAATTACAGCACTTTTTGGATCTGTTGGCGACCGACTTCCAAGTTCAACTCGTGGTAAATCGCCAGTTTGGCCGCACAACCACGATATGAGCAAGCTTAGTCGCAAGTTCACAGTAGTTAACCTCTCCACGGATATTGACGATATCAGTGTTATCTTACTTTGATATAAATTGATATTATGAATTAAATCAGCTTTTAATTACTCTCTTCTAATAAGTGTGGACAACAACCCACCCAGTTATAGATCCCAGTTCAAGTGTGTCTACCAATCGGCAATCTTAGAACCTGTGCCGCATATTTGCGTTTTTGTTTGGTCAGTGCTTTTGAATACAGCGTCAGGAGATAACTTCACTCTTATCAATACGTAGACATAATTTGCCTGTTATCTATAGGGTCAAACCCTAGGAAATCCAATACTCTAGTCTAAGCCCACTGTTTAGCGATACTGGGGTCAAACAAGCCCCTGAAGTAACTGTTGCATTTGTTATTTAAAATGTACTAAAGTCTGGTTCCGCAAAAACCATAGGAGGCCGTTCCACTGACTCCACTTTCTCATCAACCAATAAATCCTCGGAGGTAGATTTTTGCTTCGGTTGAAGTGTGGGAACCTCAAGGAGGTCTGTAATAGGTTTTCCGGCCTTTTTTGGCTGTGGTTTCGGAATTTGCAATCCTTTTCGCCAAAGGGGATGCCTTACAACATCTACCACTACAATCTCTTCTTCAAATTCATCGTCTTCATCCTCTTCGTAGTCTTCTTCAACTGGAAACACTGGAATAAACTGCTCGTCTCGTTTGGCGACTTCAGGACGGATCATGCTTTCTCTTGCTGTGTCTTCGTGGCCATTCTTTCGCTCGGTACTATTGCTCGGATACGTCAAGAAAATATCGATGTTTAAAGAGTTAACGCCTCGTCGCTTTAGTTCCGGAGAGTTCTGTTCCTCCATCCATTCTGGCACGTTTACTTGAGATTTATCTTTCACAACAGCCACAAGCGGTTGCTCGTCACTACGATCGAAAGTCTTCGTGTGAGATTCGAGATACCTCCGGGTCTCCCCTCCTCCGATTGACTTTGTTGTGAAGGAACGCTCATATACTGAACTGTACTGGGTATTCATGCTTTTGAAGCTGAACGATTCGGAAGACAACGTCGAATAAACCTCCTTTGAAAACTTCTTGACGTCACGTCTTTCAAAGGACTGTTTCACAGCTGACTGACTCTGAAAACGGGTCGTAGGTGAGGTCGAGGTTATCTCAGTCTTCTTCATCGCTAATAGATATCGTATTTCGCTCACGTAGCTATATCTACCAAAACGCTGACTTAACTTTTATTCGCCACTCCAAAATAATTCCTTTTCTGTTTTCCCGTCAAAGTTTGTTTACCTTCGTTTTGTTTCACCTCACTGCCCTTTGCTCGGGGCGTTTGTTTGGTTCTTTACGCCAAATCACGCTCTCTAACTTTTCTTCGTTCTGGAAAGTTTTGCCGCAACGAAGTTCCCCGTTTTGGGGCGAGGGCAAGCACGAAGCACTGTTGAAATTCCGAAGGATTCTGAAGTAAAATAGAACAACACAGAGGACTTGAATTCTAATGATCCCTATAGATGAACTAAAAATAACTTACTTCTTTCGCATGCTCTTTTAAATTAAAGATGATAATTTCGATAACCTATATATCGGAACCTACTTTTGAGAAGTTGTTTTATACCTCCCTAGAAAGGCAAGATTCCGAGGTTTTCAAGCGATTTCGAGAACGTCAACTCACACCTTAAACAAATGACTTTTTAATTTATACAGAAGTGAAAGAGAAGACTTAATCCTCTTAGGAATGACCAATAATCTGGTGGCACGGTTTACCCAGACGGTAAAGCCTTTTTGGTAGCTACTTTCCTCCTTTATAATAAACCACCACTGGATGTCAACAGCTTTCCCTCCTATGTTGCTAAAGAGGTCAAGAAAAATTCAGTTGTTGAAGAAAAACATTCACCTTTAACTTAACCAAGTAAAAGAAAAGAACAAACAAACATGGGAAAATGTAAATGATGCGCATTTGCAGAGAAGCAGTCAAATGGAAAAAATGAAGTATATGGCATGAACTGAAACGATTCGAAAAAAAAAGTAAATGAGGAATGAGTGACACTCCTAGGCCAAAGACCCATATAGGACCTTACAATTATACGCTAAGGTTATTAAATTTTTAAATCCCTTGATTTATATGCTGCAAATCAAACATCGTCCCGCCCAGCGCGTAGTCGTAACAAAAAAGAGCTCTTGCATATCTGCACGCCATCCGTCCGTTTTAAACGATGGGATATGTTTGTCCGTTGGGAGGCCGATCGTCTCATCGAACGATCAAATGTTTGAAAGTGGAGTAGGTTTTCTGACATGTATGTTGCAGTTAAATTTTTATTTCTGTTAATTTTTGTTTTTCCTTTGTTTCAAATTCATTAGCATACATTATCATACCCAAAAGCAATGGAAAAATAAAAATCAACTGAAAAAAAAAAAATTAACTACAACATATGCATCGGAGAACTACAAGGAGAATCGAAACAAAGAAGTTGATAACCGATGATATGTTGAGAAATTTTCCATTTTCCTATCGTTTACTGTTCATTATAACTACACGAAAATCGGTAGATCCAAGCCAATTCTATCCATAAAAAATTGTTTTAAGCTGTTTAGGTCTGCTTATTCCTTATTTTGAAAATTTTTCAGCTTGTATCTCACGTTTGCGGTTTCAGTGCCGTACACGCGATGCTTAAGGTGGCTCGATAAAGTTTTTCAGGGTCAATACCTCCCAAGTTTGAGCATAAACTACGTTGCCATAAACAGAGATTTGGAGAAATTGTCACCACAATTGTATTAGATAAAGATGGAAATTTGTTATGATCAGGGTTGCAACGACATCGGAGTTGTCATAGCAACGAAATGACGCTATTACCTATTTTACCCGCAGCAGTCTATCTCGGCACTGGGAAGAATCGTTCACAGGAGCTTTTTCCTCCAATAGAGGCCTCGATCTTCGCGAAGTTTTTGCGTAAGTTCACTAATGATGAATTAGTGCAAAAGCTAAAAATCTGGTCAAAAGGTTTCAGACCCACCTCAGTGGCTTTGATATTTCTCAGACACAGCAATCATCTCTCTGTCTCTCGGTGATTCGTTTCCATATTTATGTTAAAAAGTTCTTACGAAAGTATAAGAGTCAAAAGTGCTTACTCGTTGGCAATTAAAGTCGCAGTGACTCTCGCTTCTTAATGCCTTCAGCGAGTTTGAGTTTGGCGCTACTTAGATTTCAAGCCTCTTCTACCTACTTGCACAGCGCGTATCGACCTGAGAACGAGGCTGCGTTATTCTACTAATTTACTGCTAGTTCTTTTGCCAGTTTCAAGGGCGGCGATTTCTGCGAGTTGATAGATGGGTTTCGAACTTTCGGAACGTCAACATGACGGTGTTTTCTCAGCTCAAAAACACTCACTAGTGGATTAGATGCTAACTCATTTTCTAGCGAAACTTTTTTTAAGACTTCTTATACTTTTTTTTCTGAAATGTACAGCAAACATTTTTACACTGGTGAAAATAAAGACAAGAGACTCAAGAAATATACTCAGTTTTCACTTGGAGTGTAGAGTGAAACCGAGAAGACTGTGTCACGAGCATTTGAAATAAAGGGGAAGAAAAATACCGAAGTAAACGGTGTCTTAAATCACCCAAATACTTTTATAAATCGAAAAAAAGCGAGTGCTACTTTTAAATGATACCCTAACCTGTTGACTCAGTTCATACACATGTCTTTCACAAGAAAGCGCATATTACTGGCTTCTGTGTTCCGGCCTGGACATTGTTTCAGTTCAATCACTTTGCAAAAGCCTAATTGGTTTCTCCACTCGTGACTGGTCTTACAGGTTCTCTAAAGCAGCGAAGTCAGGTAATTCTCGAAATACCGACGGACGTTCCACACATTCGATTTTCTCTTCAATCAAAAACTCATCGGGAGCCGACTCTTGAACTCGAATTGTCTGCGCCACGAGTAGGTCTTCAATCGGTTTTCCAGCGCTTTCTGGCCCTTGGTTAGGAAACACCAGCTTTTTGTTCCAACTCGGTTTTCTCTTGACATCCATCACTACAATCTCCTCTTCAAATTCACTGGACTCTTCGCCGGAGTCGTCGACGCCATTTTCATCCAGAAGAAGAGGAAAAACCTGTTTGTCCCGCTTGGCAAATACCGGGTGGATCCAAGTCTCGATGGCGTTGTCTTCAATCTCCCCTTTTCTCGGTGAATAATCGGTTGGATATTTCAACAAACCGTCAACAGGTTGACACTCTGTTCCTGACGATTTTCGCTCTTTTATCCACTCGGGAACCTCGACTTGTCTAGGAGACTCCAGTTTTTTGTTCCAGCTCGGTTTTCTTTGGACCTCCACCACTACAATTTCTTCTTCAAATTCACTGGAGTCCTCGTCTGATTCATTGACGCCATTTTCATCTGAAATAACAGGAACAAGCTGTTTGTCCCGTTTGGTAAATTCTGGATGGATCCTGCCCTCCTCGACGCTGTCGTCTATCTCTTTTTCCCTTGGTGAATAATCGGCTGGATATTTCAACAAATCATCAATGTCTGAAATATCACTGGGTTGGTGCTCTGTTTCTGGACATTTTCGCTCTTCCATCCACTCTGGGACCTCTATCCGGGACCTTCTTCCTCTCGTAACAATCATGATTGGTTGCTCGGAAACATGATCGGAGCATTTCCGAGACTGCCCGATAGATCGTCGCCCTTCTTCGACCGTTTTCGTCGGTTGCTCGCCCAAGGAAGACTGGTTATTGTTGGAGTCATTGTTGTTTAATTCATACAATTTTGTGGAATTCTTTCGCTCCCCTGGAACTAACTTTACATCATAATTCGGAAAAGGCTCCCCTTTAGGCACAATTTCCACCAAGCTTCGTTTTCGTCCAGAACTTGTTGTAATTGTGGATGACGTAACCACTGTTTTCTTCGTGACATTTCGTACTGTCATTTCACATTCCAAGTTTCCCTCCATAACTCCGTTCAAATTTTATTGACCGTATATAAAATAAATTGTCCCGTTTAGTTCCAGTTGTTTTCTAAACTTTGCTCAGCGGTCGTGCCTCTATATTCACTGTGTTTAAAAATATCAGCGCGTTCGTCGAGTGGCAAACAAATCCTTTCCTTATTTTGCTATTAAAATACCCCTTATCACAGATAGTCGCTTGTTTAGTAAATACAGCAGATCTAAAACAAAATAAAGTAATATATGTTTTGAATTCATAATTCATAATTAACCCTTTGACAAAAACACAGTATTACACTAGGATCACGATTTCTCGTTCTCCGCGAACGACTTCGAACCTCCCGGCGACTTCCCTCCACAAGACTTTCCTACCCCTATTCAAACACTTTTAACTTATAAGTTCCGAACCTCAGCGACAGTTCGCAGCAATTTCCTTTTCTCGGGTAGGCTCGAAAAATCGAATTTCCACAAGACTTCACGAGCAACTGCACAATATTATTAGCTAGCGATTTCAAAGGCCCGAAACTAAAGATAACTTTTGCATACTCACTTCTGATCGCAAACTCAGTGTTGGTTGTTGAGATAAGGGTATGGTAAGGTCTCTGTCTGACTCAGCAACAACTAAGGTGTAACTTGAGCTTAAACATGTTTAAAAAGCCTTTCGAGAACGAAACGAGGCTTTTGAAAAGAACCCAGGGAGTTGAAAGACTTAATCCTATGTTAACCGGTATATCGTCCCACTGGACTAGGTATTAGTGGATTGACTACTAATATACCTATAACGAACAATAGAGATATCAATGAATGAATAGAGCCAAGCAACTGTGTGAAAACGTTCACAAACTAAAGCCATTTCAAAGGTGGTCAATGACAATTTTTCCATTTTCCCATGTGAACTTGCAGCAGTGTATAGTTTCTTAAGTAACTGTACAATATTCAGAGACAAAAAAAACAATTGCGGTTCTTACTGATGAAAAGACCAAAACGGTGGGAAAATACTCATAAGATGACTCATTCATATATTTTTCAATAAGTTCTAACCCCCTTCACTTTTAGAATGTCTATAGTGTATACATTTAATAACTATCAGTAGGTTATTTTATACCAAAAGCAGTTAAGTACAAGAAGAGATGCTGTGTATAAATGTGTGGTACTGAATTAAACTAATCAATGGAAGTTTTAGAATTGAAGGTTATATTCCGATTAATCAAATGGATTTTTAAACAGCGTGTATGTAATTCGTCGTCTAAGTCATGTTTAAACCATAAATAGAGTCATTATTTAAACGTTCTTCCATAAACGTGTTCCAAACGTGTCTAAACACGGAGTTCGGAACAGTAATACATGTAAGTTAGACATACTAAAAGGCTTGTTTATATACCACATAAGGGTTCGTATTCTTTGAAGCTCTTCAAATTCTATGACTTTTTCCATGACCTTAGGTTTTGCTGTCGCTTTCAAAAATTTTCAAAACCTTCCGTGTTTTAAGGTAATTTTTTACCTTAAACAGTTCAACAGACACCAACTCTGGTGTCAGGGGCGGATCCAGGATTTTTTCTAGGAGGGGATGCACTCATCTCTTGCTCTACTTCAACCCCAATGAACAGCATAGTTTTTTTTTTGCAGAATACCAGTTGTATTAGAAAACTGCAGGTCATCTCGGGGGGGGGGGGGGGCGCACCCCCTGCCCCCCCCCCCTAACTCCCCCCCGGGGGGTCCAAAAAAAAGCGTAATTTTCGCCCTTTTTAATTTTTTCTTTTTATTTTACTCTTTTTTTTCCTTTTCTTTGCCAGTAACTAATTTTCCACACAAAACCTTCTTTCCATACCTTGTGTTAACGTTATTTTTTACCCTAAACCGTTCAAACAGCCACCACTCTGGGTTGCGGGGGGGGTCCATGTATTTTTCCTGGGGGGGATTCCTTCACTCTTTGCTCTACCTCCACCCCCATGAACAGCATAGTTTTTTTTTTGCAGAAAACCAGTTTTATTAAAAAACCGGAGGGCATCCCGGGGGGGGGGGGGTGCGCACCCCCTGCACCCTCCCCCTAGATCCGCCCCTGGGTGTCCACAAAATAGCGTAATATTCGCGCTTTTTAATTGCTTCTCTTTACTTTACATTGTCTTTGCCTTTTCATCTGCAGTAACTAATCTTCCAAACAAAACCTTCTTTCCATGACTTTCAAACAGCATACATATATATACAGGGTTCCTTGAGGTCATGGAAACCCTGGAAAGTCATTAAACTTAAGAAATTCTTTTCCCAGGCCTGGAAAGTTATGGAATTTAATTGTCGGTCCTTGAAAGAGCTATGTCACGACTTTTTGGTATTACTTTTGTTTTATTTGTTTTATTTTTTTCAACTTTATTTCTCAGCAACACTGTATTACACATTTCTATACAAAGGAAAAATTACAAAAATTGCAAAAGAAACTAGAATTACTTTAAAACCTTGAAATCACATTGGGATAAAAGAAAACCCTATTGTAATGATTCAGTTTTATCTAAAA